CGTATGGTAGTTTATTTATCATTATGTTTTATTTTGTATGATTTAAATGATTAATTGGATAATTGCATGTTTTATAACTATAATTTTATTAATTATGAATGTAGTTTTCATTAAAATTTGAATAACTTTACATATTATATATATGTTTTATTTTTATTGGTGTAAAATTTAAATATGGTAAGTTATATAAAATCAAATTTTCACGTACTTAATAAAAATTATAATTTTTAAAATTTTCACATATTTAATAAAAATTATAATTTTCAACCAACTTAATAAAGCTTAACAATTTAATTATTGTATTTAATGTAAAAAAAATGTATGACAAGTTATAAATTATTGATAAGATAATACAATATCCAATCAAAATATTAAAAGTTTTAAATATATAATTTAAACTACAACGAAAAATATTTTGTAGTTAATGTATAAAATAATTTTAATTATATTTTATATATAACATAATATTAATACATGTAAATATTATATACATATAAATTAATTAATATTCTTATATTCAATTATATTATAATTATCATTTTTATTTAATTTATCAATTATAATAACAAATGTATTTGAGTCATTTTGCTAAAAAAATATTATTCAATTTTTTTATATTTATTCTTATTTATCACATCAACAATAATAAATCTATTTAAATATCTTCACATTTATCCTTTTTAGTTCGATCCAAACAATCTCACACCATTTACTCTAAATCACCTTAAAATTCATTCTCTTAAATCTCCGCACATTCCAAATACAAGCTTAAAGACTTGAAATTAATTATACACAAATTAATTTGTCGAAATTTATAACAAATGAACCTTAGGGTTTTTAGTTACTAGAAAACTATTATGTAACTCTATATAAACTTATCTTTCTTTTATATGTAAAACTACTTTATCTTTTATTTTTTTTAATATTATTATTTTGTTACGCTTCAAAATATTTTAAACATTTTAAAGCATAATTTTTTTTTCTTTTATCTTATGTGAATCATACTAGTGTGCATGATAAATATATATTTTTTTTAATCTATTTTTAATACTTGTAATGTTTTCGCTCTTGGTATATTTATATATATATATATATATATATATATATATATATAATCTTTATTTTAATTTTTAATAAGGTTAATAATAACAAAAATAGGTCAATATATCATGATTTACATTATTTTATTTTTATTAGTCAAAAGATAGATGAAAAGGTTAATGCTCAAGTAACCAACCATTCTTTATACAGTACATGTTAAATTTTTTAATAATTTACTCATTAACTAATATTTTTATTAGATAAATTTAGAAAAATTATATATTTAAATATAAAATAGTTAATATAATTAATAATTAAAATTTAATTAATTAATATTTATGATTTAAATTATAATATTATAATATATTTTTATATTTCAATAATATAATATAAAAAATATAATATTTTAAATTATAATTTTTTTGTCCTTTAACTTTACAGGTCAATGAACGATATGAGTTAAAATAGATTTTTAAAATAAAATTATTAACCCGACTCATCCATTTGAGTCAGTTTACTAGACTTAACCAGTTTATATTTTGTAATATTTACTATAATTTTAATTAAATTTATTTTATGTTTAATATATTATTAAAAAATATGATTTTTTTAATTTAACTTGGAACATGATAAACTTGGGTTCAACCTTTGAATATGAACTGTACCTTCACTCATAACTCCAGTTATAATAACATTGTAAATATAATGGCAATCAAGTTTCTTTCTCATGTGTCCCATTTTACACGCTTCCACACATCTTTTTAATCTTTGTATATCTTCACACTTCATAAAAGTTAATCGTTTGCTGGGTCAGTGGATTCTGCCTCTGGCTCAATCAAACACAAACAGTATTAAAAACTAATTAATGTCTGTATTTACTTGGTTGTTCAAAAAATTAGCAGATATCTTATCTACTGTACCAATACGAATATTATTATTCAATTAAAATATAAATGTAATTTGATTTTACGTATTATATTATAAGGTTGATCGAACTCTTTAGTATATTTTGGAAGTTGTTCTTGAATTGTGTCGAAGATGAGAGAATATGGACAAGAATATGATCCATGATATTCCTGGAGTTATAAGTCTTTGTCTTGATGACTTATGTTTTCTTTTCATTCATGATGAGCAAGGAGCCAAGAATACATTGAATTTGACACTGTTAGAGTGTGATTCTACAGCATTCATGCTGTAACTTCTCCATATATAGCAAGGTCTGACAGATTGCTTGCTAGGCCATCAGGCTTTTGGCCAGCATTGCATGTTCCAAATTCCAATCATGTATGACCTCTTACTTTTGTGATATGCTATTAAAATGAATCTTTCTCTGATCAAGAGAAAATGCAGGATATCAATAGCACATTGGTCATTAGTAGATTCCACATGGTCAAATAAATTATGCCTCCAGAGTTAGAGCGTGATTCAGGATAATAACAAAAATGTAAGCCAACATGCCAGTATAATTTACATATTAACCAGCTTTTCTCCTCTTCCTCAATCCTCAATTGCTATTCTTTGGCTGACTCAGTTAAAATAGCTGTCATTGATGAAGCATGGTAACATTGAGATACAGAAGATGAAAGATGCTTCTCTGACAATTTCTGTAGCTAGTACCTGATAAGTTTTATTGTTAGATGGTGTCTGCTTTTATCTCCTGAAATAGAAAAAGAACACAGTTTTGTATCTTATTCTGATTTGTTATAGTAATTACATACATAAGAAAAGGACCAAGTACATCATGGCAAGAGGCAAGCAAGAGAAATTTTTAGGGAGGCATTGCTTTTAGGCACTAAAATCAACAAGGATTTTATATAATGGCCAAAACTAGGATCACTGGAACTACTTTGATTTCTCCCTTGAGTGGATTACTCAACATTATTTTCCACTGCCTTCACCAGAGGTTTGCTAGAGCTTTCACTCATTAACATGTGATGTTCCCCTTCGGGTAATTCCTCCACCAGTCTTGATAGCTTCTCAACAATTTCCCTTGCACTTGGTCTCGAAGAAGAATCTTCCTCCACACATGCTCTTGCAATGTTGGCTAGTGTCACAGCTGCATCGAATGAATAGTTCTCCCCTAATGCACTGTCTATCCATCCCCTTAGTTCATTCTCATTTTCAGACCCCAAAATGGACTTGATTTTATCTGTTAGCCAAATGCTTCCTTCTCCCTTCTCATTGGGCCTGCTTATAGGAGTTTGACCAGATAAAACTTCCAACAAAACCACCCCATAAGCAAAGATATCAATGCTTGGGGAAATTATACCTTGGTGCACATACTCAGGTGCCAAATAACCAAGGCTCCAAGAGGCAGGGTTGGTGGAATAGAAATGTGGATCCTCAGTGTCATGATCAACACAACCAGCCATACCAAAATTCCCTATCTTGGCACCAAATTCTTCATCCAAAAAGATTTTCCTGCTCTTTATATTTCTATGCACATAGCATGGATTCATAACATGGTGCATATACTGCAAGGCACTGGCCACATCAAGGCAGATCCTCAGCCTTTGGCTCCATGTCAAGAAACAGTAGCAGGAAGCAATGAATTGGTTCTTAATGGCTAATCCACCATGAAGCCAATCTTTCAATGAACCATTTTTGGCATACTCAAAAACTAAAAATGACTCTTCTTGCTCCTTCCCCTCTAACATGCTCGTTCCAAGAAGCCTAAGTATGTTGGGGTGGTGGTGAAGTGCATCATGAAAAAGGCCAAGATCTATCTTTGACACTGTTTCTGCCTTTGTTCTCTTGATTGCCATGTTCTTCCCATTCAGACGACCGTGATATACTGATCCTTCAATGTGATTGCTTGAGCTGAAATCTTCAGTTGCTTTTCTCATATTCTCGATAGTGTATGTCTCTAACAGCATCTTGCGCGATGTGACATCAACAATTTTCACATCAATAGTATCCTGAGAACCCTCAAACGAAACCTTCTTGTCACTAGTGGAGGTGGTTCTCACACTTTGATTCAGATGTTGCAGCTCCATATCACCTTCTTTGCATGAATTCTCTTCCCCATTCTTGTGCTTCAATCTGATAAAGAAAAAGGCTGCAGCAAGAGCTATGCAGACTCCAAGTGCAACCCCAGCTAGGCCAATGCACAATTCAGTCTTCCACATTGGTGACTTCTTGTGTGGACTTGTTACTGGGATGCTGGTTGTTTGAAAGCCAGAATTGGGTTCCTTGGGTTTAACCAAAGGACCAATGATAGGCTTACCATTAAGTGGAATGAGAATAGACGTAAAGGGTGCAAGACCACTTCTAGTCCTAAGGCCTTGAGATGATATGTTATTGGCAGAAACAATAACTTCTTCACTAATATTGAACTTTGAGGCCAAATTGGAGATTGTATCACCTTCAGTTACAGGATAAGAGAGAAGAAGCTTTGGTTGTGGTCTAACTTGAGATGAAAACGGGCAGGAACATCTCAACGGGATAATCAATCTGACTTTGTCATCAAGATTCCAAGGTGAAACACCAGGGTTTTTGTCCCTAATAGCCTTGCAGGTTGTCAAGCCCTCTAGTGATTGAGCTATGTTATAGAAGCTCTCTCCTTTGATAGTAGTTTTGGTTAGCTCAGCATGAGAGAAGCCACCTATGCACTGGCACTGAATTGGTATTAGTAGGGGTTGATTCTGGGAGAGGAACTCAGTGTCTGCAGAGAATCCATTTGCTTGTGCTACCACAAACTTATTGAGTCCCAAGTAAGAGGTGAGGTTGGAGAGAGAGGAGTAATAGGAGTTTGTGAAAAAGAGTGCAAATGTTGCACATTGGTTATGTGCCACATTTTCAATGCAATGGTAGCCAGAGGCATCAGGTGAAGCTGTCTCACAGCTTAGCAAGTCTTTGCCCAACGAGGGGACAAACAGCCAAAGGAAAAAGACCAAAACCTTCATGTGGAATGCAATGATCATTTCTAGTGTGCCCATGACCACTCAGCTAGCTCTAACATGGAGTGGCCTATTAAAATAGAACACCCTCTTTTCTTTTTTCTCTCGGGGAGTGAATATTTCGGATCTATACAAAATAACTAAGAGAAAGATAACAGAATTTTTCAAAGCTGTTCGGAGACAGAAATCTTGGGAATCACCAAGTTTATTTTGTATATTTTGACACTGCCTCCAGCTGTTCAGGTGACTATAGCAACACTCTTTTAACTCACTGCTTTTGGACACTCCTCGGGCTTCAAACCTCCCTTTATATGCATCTACTTGTGCATGTGAGCAACCAACCTTATTACTCTTTTATCATTTCATACTTATGCTGCTGCTCAGGATCAAATATCTGCATTTCATCTTATTTCTTTCTTCTCACTTCACAAAATCGACTTACAACAACTACATTAAATTTGGTTCCAAAAACTTCTTCATAAACATTCTTAAAACAATAAATACAATCAATTTCGTTCCACATTACAATATGTTTGTGTATAAGTTAATTTGTAAAAATTTCCTTTTTTTTTATTTCTTATTTGTAACTTGAACTTAAAATAATTTTAACTTATATAGAAACTTATTTTATTTTATTTTCTTAACTTTTTTCAGCGACCCTTTTTAATTTATTCACTCTCACAAAGCCTTTCATTTTGAGAAAATGTTTTGTAAATTCTTGAAATGATATTTTCAAGTTTTTAACTCAAAATACAAATATAAGGAAATCTATTGATTTTGTTTAAGGAATAACAGAATACTAAAATTTATGACAGATTAAACTGTCATAAACTAATCAAATGTTAAAAACAGAAGTTATACAGTAGCATGTTTACTTGTAAAAAACAATGAAAAAATATTTAAAAAATAGAAAAATATCAAACTTTAATAATTCCCCAGCTAAAATTTAATATTATTTTTTAAAAGAAAAAGAAGTAATCCAACTTGACCTGTTTTTACTACACAGAATTAGGGAAATTAGTGGGATTAAGATGACTCAATCTATCTCACCTTTATATACAGAGATGATAAAGATAAGAGGATTGAATATTTATCTATTAAGTCCATGGACCATCATTAACTTTAAAATAATGCATAGCCTTTTGAACAAATCTAAGTGCAACAATGTTAGTTAGGTGAGAACCTAAGGGGAAACTAGGATTAACACTTAATTGTCCATGTTTTTGACTTCTGACAACTATTTTTGCACAAATTAATATTTATCAGTCCTTTGATTAGAAATAAGGTTGGACTCTGGTGAAAAATGGTCCCCATGGTTCCAAAAGGTGTTTGATATGAAGCACATGGTTCCTATGACACCCTTGACTCATTTGGGCCTCTACGACAACCATCAAATAGTTCTCTTTTCAACTATGTTATGTTCTTTTGGCAAATTTTGCTGTGCACAATAAAGGGTAATTTAGTTAATAAGAAAAAAGTTACTTCCTTGAAAAAAAAAAAAACACATATTCCTACACTTTTAGGATACGACAATATAATGGAAATATTAAGTGGTAGATTTTATCATGTTATTTACAATCATTTTTCAGTAAAATTGTATAATTTAAATGTATGTATGTACATACATATTCATTGTTAAAAGTTATTGAATTTTTTAATGAAGTAATATGATCTGTACAAAATGTTTTTTTTTTTCTTTTTTATGAAAAGGAGAATGGCGAAATCACAATATTCAATTTATTTTTTTATTTTGAAATATAAAACCACTTTGTACTTTTACTTGAATCGTAGTAGTTGAGCTATTTAACGGAGAATGAATTGAAAGAAATATTATATTAAACTTGAAACAAGTTTAAATATAGTGAGCATTAATATGATATTAGTGAACATTAAAGAAAACCAAAAATTTTCTATTAGAAATTTTAAACTATATTAGAAAATCGAGTTTGTGAATATATTGCTTATAGTATCGATAATACTTGTATTTGTTGACAATAAATTCAAAATCATGTTTTTATTTTCAATTTATTAATAGTTGAAAGTGTAAATTATTGAATGAGAGACGTTCTTTGTTTTCAAATTTTAACTAAAATTTTTACATATTAAAAAAATTAGAAGAATAAAATGAAAGTTGATGAAGTATATTAGAATGTTAAACACTTACTAGGAGGAGATATATATAAAAAGAAAAAAGATTTCCTATTTTCTTCGTATTTAAATGAAGAAGTTAAAAATCTTCACCTTGAATAATTTTCACTTGTTATATATTTGAACCTAAAATTCGAATGAAAAGCCAAAACATGAAGAAAAAAACAGGCAAGACATAAAAAAGGGGTCTCCCATCAATGCAAAAGAAGCTTACATGGATAGCACTATGTCTCTCAAGTACATGCAACTTTTACATATAAAAGCAAAGACATAGCTGGACTTTCCAAAGAATGAAAGATGAGAAGGGAGTATACAGATCACAGAGAATATAATCTGTGAAGCAGTGTGGATAGAAATGATGCAAGTAGTGGAAAGTATATGGCTAATGAAGAGCAGACAAAAGAAGATTAACTATAATGCATGGTAAAGTTAAGGCATGAAAGAAGGGCTAGAGATTTATAGGTCCAAGAGATAATTTATATCCTAAGTTGACCATTGCCACTACCATTGGAAAAAGATTTCCCACCGCCCATGCCAAAGCCACATTGCATCCAAACAAGCCTTATCTCATTATGTATAACTAATCATACCTTCTTCATGAACAACTCACCACCCTTTTTATTTTCTGTGTTATTTTATCCTTTGAACACCAATATATTAAAATGGTATGCACCAATATCTTCTGAAACCAGTTTTTTTCATTTCTTCAGTCTATTAATATACATACATAATTACACTATCACTCATGGTAGTTCTTGGATTATGAAAACTACACCCATTGTTTCTGAGAGGAATATGCTGGTGACACTCTTTCTGACACTTACCATTATGGATGATTTCTGATAAATTTCAATCAATCATAAAAAAGTATTAGAAAGAAAATATCAGAGAGAGTATCATTAACAATTCGTGCTTCTGTTAATATATTTGTAGTGTGGTGTGTTTGCAAACATGTTGAATCTCCTATATATCAATGTAAATTCATCAAATATGTTTGATTTCTTGAAACAGGTGAGACAAATGTTGAAACGCTAGATACGTAAATTTCATTTGTCATATACGCATTTTTTGTCATTCAATGACTAATATGACCAAAGCAGCAGCTTTTTAAAGACCAATCTCATTGTTTACTTTCTCTTTTGATAATTGCAGTTGGCTTGAATGATTTAAAGCTATAATTTCAAAATTAGCGTGGTTGGTTCTTCAAAGTATGATGTATTTGGAGTAAAGTAGGGAAACTGACAAGGAAGGATACAAAATACAACATAATACAGATACTGTGACACAATTGATATTGGTACGTTTCACTGTGATTTAGTTGTCGTGTTGTGTTGTGTTTGGTTCAAGCATTTGATGCGTGTGTCATTTCTCTTGTTTTGAACTTCTCGTTAATTCTGGGAATCTGAGACAAAAAATAATGTAAAATTTGGTTTTGAATAGGTTAAGGAGGTGATGAGGTTGGCATCTGGTCCAGAACCAATACATTTGAGGGCATTCTGAAGAAGAAAACTCGATGTGATTGGTACTTTATCTGCAACAAGGAATAACGTAACGAAAATCTGGTGAATGGCTTGGCTCAGATTCTCAGACCCATTATTTTTGTACCAACTTTTTAGCCTAACTTGGATTCAGTGAAGTCAAAAAGTAGTGGAGTGTTGAAGATTAGAGAAACAAGGATTCACGGGTATTCTTAAAATATTTTCCTTGTATTCCCCTACACACTTTTTCAAGAACTCATGGAATAACGGAAAGAAAATTGGTGGCTTTTGATTACGCAGCTTAGGAACAAGCTTTTAAACATTTGCCTAGTGGTTGTCATCATATTCATATTCATTTACCCTGGCCCCAAGACTTGACAACACAGCATAATTCGTTGTGTTATTCACAACTCTAGTACCTTCCTCAGTGCTCTCTCTCTAAATGCACTTTATGCACAAAATGTTTTTTCCATATTACCTTCATGGCTTATTAGTATCATTTGAGTAAAGAAAAGGGTTAGTTTTATTGTTGTTTTTTATTCTATATAAAGACAATAATAGTAGTGTCTTGTCCAGAACTGAAAAAGGTATCTATAATTCATTGTATCAGAAAAAACTTTCATGAAAAGTAATCCATGGCCAGTGAGAGGAGGAAGGGAAAACCAAAACTATTCTTTCCCTTCCTCTCTCTTCATGAATATTAGATTCTTGCTTTTATCAAATAACATCTATCTATCTGTAATATATAAATCAATAACTCTTGCTTGAACATCGAACTCTTAACAATCGAAGCTTCATCATTTTCATTTAGTCATGTAAGCTTTTTGTATGAATTATTTCCATACAGATCATTCTCTGTTATTTACCTATATGTCTTTTAAGTAATTATCATAAATGCTGATGACGAGTTACAGGTTCTACCTTTAGTATAGAATATATTAATTTTAAATAGTTAAGGAGTTTTTTTTTTTTTTTTTTTTATCAAATAGTTAAGGAGTTTAACTAATTATAAATTATACCCTTTACATTATTTTAAGATATTCTACAACAGCATTAATGAAATATGTCCAAATTATTTCAAAAGAGAAGTATCAAGTTTAAATAAATAAATAAATCCTAATATGTAGCATCAACATATTGCATGCTTTAAATATCATTAAACTAAATTTAATTGTAGTATAAAATTTTGAATAAAAAAAACATTTAGTTTCATTTATTTCGAAAGTTGAAACACATTTCAATTTGCTCTCATTGAAGCTATTTTCTCTATTCAATTTTATTTTATCTTCAGTAAGGTTTTGATTTTACATCAATACTAATTTGCTTGATGTTTGCCAAAGCCACTACAAAAACAAGGCAGGAGACTTAAAAAAGCCATGAAATTAGGTCAGGTAAACCAATATCTGTGGCATTACCCCAAGATGAACAATATTGGTTTACCCTCACGTGACGTAGAGAATGAGTTCAACTTACTTTTTAAAGCATGTTTTTCCATATGATCAAAGTATGGGGTCTGAATGAATGGCATAATAAAGCGTGCACATGCACGTGCGAACACATGCTGCCCATTGTTCTTGGTAGACAGAAATTTATGCTGATTTTGGGAGTAGAAGGAGACAAATCCAATCCTGAAGACACTTCTAATATGTTGTGTCGAGAATTGAAACGATCACAAATACAAATATTGATAAAAAGCAATATAAAAATAAGAGAGAACTTAAAATATCTGCATTCTATTGACGAGGATGATTTGGCACAAATTGTGCTATAACAGAAGTCTAGGGATGGAGATTTCATTAGACTTTCCATGCATCCAAGGATTCAAAGACATTGTAGGTGGAAAGATTGGGAACTGTAGTAGTGAAGATTATGATCAGCATCCATCTAATCAAGACATCCATTTGTGCTACAGTGCGCATGCCATAGTGCGCTGATAAAACAAGTCTAATTGGTATATCAGTCTCAAACAAGAACAAGCACTTTCATTGGAAAATTAGTTCATCAAACTATTATTAAAGTTTGTGTTATAACAAAGGCAAGAGTCCCATTTATCCCTCAAGGAGTCTAATATATGAATTTTGATCAAGAAAGTAGATTAGGTAATTGGTGTTCTATCAAGATACTACTTATATTATGGAATCAATTTTAATATTACTGATTCCACACTATCAGCATATTAACAAGAAATTATCGAAATGAGTTTGTGCTTGTGTAAATGATTAGTTACTACAACCATAGGTGACAGTAGTTACTACACTCATCAATACATAGTGTAAAAATACTAACCGTGGTTAAAAATTTAAATTTAAACATAATACTATATGTGACAGTAGCACTTGTCATCCCGCTTTTTGTGTCTATATATTTATGAAATGCACACATGATATAGAAATATGAAGAAACATTATCAAGTCATTTGATCGTTTATTCGACTTCGGAAAATGATGACATTAAGCATATTGATTGTTAAGTTATGAAGTGTACATTAACTTGAAACAATTTTTTTTTTTTACTGTATCAAGGTTTGCTGGGCTTTCTCAACAGAATTCCTCAGCAAGGATATTACTTGAGCTGGCTCCGGGGCACCAAACACAGAACTTCCAGCAACAATGCAGTTTGCTCCTGCTGATGCAGCCACCTCTATGGTTGAAGGCCCTAAACCACCGTCAACCTGCAATTGAAATTTATCATGTGTCAATTGTTGAAAATAAAATATTATTACTAGTGTGCATGAGCATGCGAACATAAGCATTTAAGGCCCATTTGGATAGCAGCTCATTTAAGGGCTTTCTGGATAATAATACTTTTGATGAACACTTACATCGGGAAAAAAAAAATGTAACCTCAAAATCTCTCTTATTTAGCTTCTTCAAAAAATTGATACTAACTTGTGTATAACCTAATGTTAACTTAAAAAAAAAACAATTTTTTTAAAATTTTTTAAGTTTCTGCTCCTATTAATGTTTATCGAGAAGTTTATAGAAGTTACACTTATAATCGAAGAGCAAATAAGGTTGAATTATTTTTATATAAGTTATCAATTGTTTTCATAAGCTATTTTGAAGAGATTTAGTGAAATAAGCTGAAAATAACTTGTGAACATATCCTCATAAGTTAATTTTACAAGCTTTCTCAGACACTTAACGTCATAAGTCCTAATAAAATGTAAATAATCTCTTCCAAATGAGATCTTAGTTATCTCCAATCTCCATGAATGCAATAAGCGAGCACTAAGGGGACTTCTTTTTCAATATATAATAAAAATTCCAGGGAAAGTGAGCTTAGGAATATCACATTTTCATATTTAAAACAAGTTTCGGAAAAACATTTTCAAGAATTGTTGATTCTATGAATACAAAATCTTCATATTTACTTTGCCTCTTAGAGCAACTCCAACGGGAATTGCTTATAAGCAAGAGTGCTTATAAGAAATTGCGGTTGGAACAATCCGACGTGACAGTAACAATTTTGAAAAGTTAAGCACCGTATCTTATAGAAACAACATTCTTAAGAGTTATTTTTCTCAATTTTTTTCAGTTTGTTCCCACGGTTCTCACCAACAGAATTGAACAAATTCAGAGAATGCAACAAATCAGAGAGGAATACTCACCGCGGGTCCTATTAAAGTCAAAAGTGGTAGTTGAATGGTGGGTTGCTTATAAGAACCTACCATTGGAGTGAATTTGTAAAAATTTGAAAAGAGTTGCTTAAATATGATGTGGCACTGCGAGTCCCACTTAAGAACCCAAGGTGGGTTCTTTTAAGAACTCACCATAGGAGATGCTCTTATTCTTATGGTGAAAAGTGGGGGTGGTTGGTATTTTACATTCTGAGGGGAATTGAAGGTAACTGCCTCTCCCCAGTTTCTTATTCCACATTGCTTTTTCCACTTTTTATTTTTATTGTTTATTTTATTTTGAATTACATTATATTTTTTATGAAATTACTAAATGTCAACCAAACATGTTCAAGGAAATAGTATTCCTATCCATACTATCCTTGGAAATATGATCCTTTTAAATGCAATATTAAACAAACACCCACCTCCTTAGAAATAATGTTGAATGAAAAGTTTTGGTGAGGAACCTATATATTAAATACGTTGAAAGTGCAAAGGCAACGGGAAATTAATAAAAGATCACTTTTCTATGTCTAGAGAATCAAGCAAGCAAAAAGGTCAATTATCAACTATGCCTAGAACCATAGAGAAAATATGAATCTAAATTAAGAGGAAGAAGTCACAGACAAAAAAATAGGCTGAGATACCTCTATGTCAAGCGATGGATACTTCTTCCGAAGTATACGTACCTGGTTTGAAAATTCAAATGAGAGAAAAAAATTAATTGAAAAATACATAAAACTAGCATAACTGACAAGAGTTATCAGCCAAGAAGAATGGCATAAGAGAGAGTGATGATACTTTATCCATCATCTCTGGCATAAATTTTTGTCCTCCAAATCCAGGTTCTACAGTCATCACAAGAACCATTTCCACAGGATTTTCAGCTTCCACCTGTGAAAAGAATAAAGATTAAAATACAAAAAGAAACACCCTGACTAAGAACTCCACGTCAGATATATTGTATATAATCTCTAGTTTATGCACACAGTCATAATATTCACAGAAGATAAAAGATGAAAAAAATCCAGCTATACAGGTATGACCATGTGAGAATCAAAGGGGGGAAATACTTACAAGAGGAAAGACCTCTTCAATGGGGGTCCCAGGCTTTAATGATACCCCAGGCCTCATGCCATGTGACTTAATTCTTTGGATAAGTTCTTTCCAGTCATCTATCGACAAGAACAACTTTTAAGAAGGTAGATAACAAAATATTATATAAAGGTAGGCTGAACAAAACTGCGTATGAGGAGACAAACCAAAGGAAGGAAGTATAGGACCAACTTTTTGATGTCTCTACGTGAAATGTAAAACCAGAAGCGCCAGCTTTTGCCAAGGGTTCAACATAATCAAGAGGATTTGTAACCATAAGATGACAATCCAAATATGCCCTGTAAGAGTTAATGGTTAATCACTAATGCACCCTATATCATGTAATAGGCAAAAACTAAAATCTTCTAGTTCAGTGAAAAGGAAGATTGTTACTTTGTGTGTTTTCTCAAACTTTCAATAACTGGAGCGCCAATAGTTAAATTGGGAACAAAATGCCTGCACGAAATAGAAGGAAATGGGGAAAAGGAAACATGTTCAGTAATTTAATGGCCAAATGCTAACACTGAAAGATAGTAAAGTTCAAAAATAAACAAAATTAAGCACACATGAGGTGACTCTAGATCACCCATAAGACCAAGTCAAGTTGATGAACCAAATTGACTTCACACCTTTGCAAGCCGAACCTTGAAATATAGTTGTTTATTGTCAAGCTCTGCCAGAGTTTTCCTTAATTTCATTCAATTAGAAGATCATCCAACTCAATACAAGTATAGTAATGCTCATATTGTCCCATTACATGTCACTTTTATAATGAAAGCATTCAGCAATTCTCCCTAATGTCAATAAGTACAAGAGAATTTATTTTTTGAAAAACGAAGAACAGGACAACAGATAGAAAGTTGTGGTTCAATTCAATTAGGAATCCATCGCCAGGAAATAGCCTTTAGAATTGAAGATTTTCAGCATCTGGTACATGTTTTATATGATTGGTGCGCAAAAACCATAAGAGAGTTACAAACAAATATGCATCAGAGGTATGTAGCATAGATCAAAGTAATTAGCTGGATGCATAAAAAAACACTATATAGCCAACCAAAATTAGTGAAGATAAAAACTAGGGTAACTTAAAAGGCAATATTAGCAGACTACAATACTCTGGGAGTTGGTATTGGGGAATTTTGTACAAGAGAATGCAGCACTGATCAGAGATGAATACAGTAATGGAACCTACACTAAGGGCATAACGGACTATTAGCATCTACTGTGGCTTATAGGTCAATCTTATTGATCAGCAAAGTTTAGAATGCAATATTCACAATTAACTAAACCTCAACGCATAATCTGAGATCATTCATCATTGAACAAAAATTCTTATCCCTTGTGCTATAGTAAATGTGTGATTATTTTTCCATTTCAGCCTCCGTTTCCCACACTCAGAGAAACCAAACATGCCAGGGAAAATTTGATGGATCCATGTTCAACGGAGGTAGAATGGTTTTACAAACACACCTGTTACCTTAGAGAATTCTTATCTGAATAAACTAAAGTGTATATGGCATATACTATTCAATGTTAACCAAGAGCTACAAAAAAAATAATTACACCTTACTAAATTCAATGTTATAAATATAGAAGAAAATTAACACAAGAATGGCCAGGAAGTGCCACAGATCGTTAGCAGACCATCAAAACTTGAACTGTAATTAGGTAAAAGAACTACAAGTACTACCCATTTATCCTTGCAGACCAATAACATTAATCGGGTAAAACAGCAAAAGGGAATGAACTGAAATGCAACTTAAAAAACCCATTTAATTTGGAAGCAATGGCAATCTGAGTAGTGAGGGGCAAATCAACATCATAAGCAAAGCAAGAGAGTAATTTCCTTACCCATCCTGCAAAAAAAATAAAAAATGAAAAACATCAGGAGCCATGGCTGCTGACTATATAAAATATGCCCAATCAGATAAATGAATGGATTCACAAACACATTCTTTTAAAATTAGTTAACAAATAACATGACAGAATTGCGAAAAATAAAAATAATCTCAACCACATAAAAATTATTTTTGGGAAATTAGAAGAACGCAATAGGAGAAAACAAATGTCAAGAGATCCTGTCCTAGCATTTTTATTGGGCGTAAATATGGGACTGCCAACACATTTTCAGTTGTGTAAACTTCAAGTTTGACATTTCCCGAAGGATGTTAGATACATCGCCTAGTGATATGATCGAAACAGTGTATATAATGGAACAAAATTTTAAGAAAAGAAGTAGAATACCATGATATCCATGTGAAGCCAATCGGCGCCGAAGTTGAGCATGCGGTGAGCCTCGGAAGCCAAATTGGCGAAGTCGGAAGAGAGCATGGAAGGAGCAATTTTAGGAGTCACAGCCATCCTTATTTTCGCAGGTGTGGAAAATGAACGGTGGTTGGTGGCGACGGAGCAGAAGGGAAGGTAAGACAAAAACGAGTTTCTCTTAATCGCGATTCGGGGTTTGGTTGGTGGTGCTTTACAGGAACGCAAGCTTTGACTTTTACTGGTTAAGTGGCAAACTTTGACGCACCCATTAGGTTGGATATGCACCAACAACTGACGTTAAAAATAAAATAATAAGAATCCAAAAGAAAATTAATTAATTATTACAATATCTAAAAAAAAAATCATCTCCAAAATACATATTTATTAGTCTTTCAAATTTAGAAATTTAATAAACTTTAGATTAAGTTAAGTTTATAGGTAAATTAGTTTTATTATTTTATTTATAAAAATAAATTAATTAGGTTTTTAAGTATATATATAATATTAAATTTGGTTGATAAATATTAGATGTCAAAATAAATTTAGTTTGATAGATCGGTCCCAAAAACTCAAAATAAGTTAAAAAATTTATGACTTAAATTAAATCAAACTTGTTTTGATTCGATTTATTTAGATCATGACATGGGCTTAAGTCAGTTAACCCGTAAACTTATGAATTGATTCGTATTATAGAATAATAATAATAATAATAATAATAATAATAATAATAATAATAATAATAATAATTTTTAAATATAAATAAAAGTAATATTATTTTATTAAATATATATATATATATATATATTATAAATTAATTTGACAAATATTTAATGAGTATTATAATAAATATATAATAATAATAATTTATTTTAAGATCTAATAATTAAGATTAATTATTATTTTAATAAATTATTAAAAACAAATAATAATAATAAAGAATAATTTGTAATTTTTTTTGCATGTATTCTCTTATAATTTATATATTAAATTATTATATTTTAAACGAAACCTAATTTCATTAATAAAATTTAAACTTTTAAAATAAATTTTATTTAAATACCTTTTAATTAATTGATTTTGTATAAATGTAATAATATATTGTTTAATTTAATTAGACCAAAATTAGTCTATTAACCTATTGGCCTAACATAGGACCAAACTAGGCTAAATAGGTTTTTGCTTCCTGCACCCTATAATTATTCTCTGTACCTCCATACCCAAAGTTAAATATCTAAAATACCTTTCCTATCATTTTGTTTTTTACCCTACTTCTTCTTCTATTTGTACACAACTTCTATACTCATCCTTTGGCTATTTAATTTTTGTGTGCTATCACATCTATTAAAGGTCTTCTTTAATAATTAAAGGTAAGTAGTGCAGAAGATGTTGTGCACAAATAGAAGAAGAAGTAGGGTAAAAAACAAAAATACAGGAAGGTTATTTTAGATATTTGACTTTGGGTATTGAGGTGCATGGAATAATTATGGGGTGGAATAATTATGGGGTGCAAGAAGCAAGAACCTATTTTAGAACGGGAAAAAATATTTAGCCTAGTTTAGTCCTATATTAGGCTAATAGGTTAATAGACTAATTTTGGTCTGATTGAATTTAAAAAAAATATTAACATACTTATACAAAATCAATTAATTAAAAAGTATTTAAATAAAAATTATTTTAAAAATTTAAATTTTATTAATGAAATTAGTTTTCGTTTAAAATATAATAATCTAATATATAAATGATAAGAGAATATATCTATTCAATCTAAAAAAAGAATTAAAAATTATTCTTTATCATTATTATTTGTTTTTAATAATTTATTAAAATAATAATTGATCTTAATTATTAGATCTTAAAATAAATTATTATTATATATTTATTATAATATTTATTCATAAAATAAGTGAATATTTGTCAAATTAATTTATAATATATATATATATATTTAATAAAATAATATTACTTTTATTTATATTTTAAAAAGATAGTAGTTATAAAATAGATTTAAACTCTAGATATTTTGACACCCTATTCAAAACCATTTAAGTATGTATTAGACATTTTTTATACTATTGTAGTAGAGTATTGTGAGGTTTGGTTTAAATTCTTGCTTTGGAGAGTATGATTATATTTGAGGTCAAAGAGCATAAGAGAGTAGTGTATGTGTTGTAAAAATTTTCATATAGTGTTATTTTGTAGTTATCATTAGATAATGATTGTGGTTTTTTCTTTAATTTTGGAATTTCTATATTATATTCTTGTGTTGATTATTTTTATCTTATTTTTCTGTTAGTAGGATAATTCTTAAAAATAAAGACATTGATGTTTTTTTATGACATCTTTTTCTCATCAATTCTCCATTATAGTTATTTAAGGAGTTATAAAATGTAATATTAGCATGATAATCATTGGAAGCCTATCTCAATATCATTTGAAATGTTTACACAATTGATAGAGGACATGATTCATGAATTAGATAATAATTGATTAAAGGAAGTCTTTATATCATTGTAAAAGTTTTACACATTTATTAGTAGTATTAAGATCAATAAATATTAAGGAAGAAAGAGGTGAACTAATAAAAAACTTAATTGAATTACTTAATTGTTGAATAAAATGTTAACTATGATGCAAATAATGAGTGTGAAGTACACAAAAATACATGTTTTTCTAACAAAAGAGATTTTAAAGTGTCCAAGTGGTGGGGTTCATGATACAAAGTAAAAGATAATAATTGTAACGATAACAAAACTTTTTTTTCAATATTTTTAAAATTGGACCGACCATTAACTTGATTAAAACATGGGTTCAATATTCAAAAATTTAATTAGATCTAACCGGATTTAATAAAATAATATTTTTATAATATAACAAGTATATAATAAATTTATTTTTAATAATTTTTTTATAAAAAAATAAAATAAAGATTGTTATGATCAATAAAAAGTATAAATATAAAATATATTAAAGAGTGTAAGATAAATAATTATTAAAATTAGATTAAAATAAAATAAAATAACTATTATTTAAAATTGAGGTAACTAATATGAGATAAAAAAAATATAATATATGATATATTTTATAAAAAAATTATATTAAAAAAAATGATCCTAATTTTTTTTTTACTAAAACCAGTTCAATAAAAAAAAATCAGTTATTTGATTTGATTTTTCTGGTTTTATTCTAATTTAATTAAAATCTACTTAATTATAAGCCACCAACTGGTTTCTAATCCGATTTCAGGTTAAACCAATTGAACCGACCAATCTGATTTTCAAAATAGTGCTTTTGTTTAATTTAAAGTGCGTATTCTCAGGTTTTGCAATTATGCATGATAAGCAAATATCAAAGTTAATTCATGTAGTTAAAGAAAATAGATTTTAATAGATTATAGTATTCTTAATCATTAAAGGTGTTTTGTTAGGCCTGGTTTAATATGTTAAAACGTATTTTAATAAATTAAAATTTTGTGATTTTTGCAAGTTTTGCAAATGATTTTGGTTAATGGATTAAACATGCTTTTAATCTATTAAAAATGAGCATCATAGTTAAGTGGATTTTCAGCTGCTTTAATCGATAAAAAGATTTTTAACACTTAATATCTTTCAAAGATCTTATTCGCTATGCATATGATGTTTTAATTGATTAGTAATTCGATTAAATTGATTAATTCGTTCTTAAACAAATTTAACCTATTAAGACAAAAATTAATCAATTAAAACTGACAATTAGATCTATATAAGATTTTGTTATCTCACCATTTTAAGATATTATTTCAATCAAATATTTTAAGATATTATTGTTTTTTATCTCTTGTAATAGATTGTTCTTGACAATATCTGTGACTAGGGTTTTTAGGTATTGTGTGGTGAATAGCTTGAATCACTGGTTGTGTAGGGAATTACTTTTGGAGAGAAAAAAAACCTCTTAGAGTAATAAGAATTCTACTTGATGTATTGTTGGTTTAGAGCAAATCTTGCATGGTTTGACTGAGGACCAGATATAACTATGCATGAATGGAGCAGTATAATTTTTCTATGTGCTTTCTCTCCTTATCCTACTTTACTGAAGGTGTGTTTTTTGTTGTTATTGATTATAACACTTAAATCTTCATTCAATTGATTAATTGAAAGGTTGATTCTCAAACTACATTATATAGTTTTGTGAAAATCATGCAGGAATCATTATTTCTAACCATTATAAATTTTGGAATTATATAAAATAAGCATTTATCATTTCTAAAATACTAAATAATAATTTATAGATTAGAAATTATGGTTTAGAATTTAGGATTTAAAGTTTAATTTCAATTAAGACTTGGTGTAAAGTTGTTGATGACAATTTCGTCATAGTTTTTTTTTTTTTCATATTTGTCTTTCGAAATTTATAAGTTCTTGGTGCCAATTACTTTCAATTTTTTTATTATATTTATCTTTCTTAATATAAAATACTTTAGATAAAATCACAATAATTAATTCATCTAATTTTTTTTCTAATAATCTATTTTTATCTTTATTAATCATCTTTAAATTAATTAATAGTAACAAAGACAATCATATCACATATGCGGAAAAATAGAAAATTAGGTTTATTGAAATGGAAAAGTATTTTACATTAAAGATTTTTTTTTCAAAATTCTATCTTACAATTAACCTTTTTTTTTCTCTTTTCTCTTTCTTAATATATTATATAAAAAATTTCTCTCTTTATCAAAATAAAATAATCCTAAAATCATATTTTAACGAACTTATCAAAACAAATATAAATTCTGATTATATAATCTATTATAACAATAATGAATTATACATATAACTATTGTAGAAATAATATAAATTTTGTTGTTGTCCCAAATAAACTCTAACTCTAGAAGAAGTATATATCGTAACTATTAATTAATTTTGCAATATTATGATTTCACATTTTGATTCTTTTTCGAATTTAAATCTTTCATTTTTTTAAAAATAATTTTAACATAAAAATAGGAGAGTAAATTACGAATTAAACTCTTTAAGATATATTAAAAGTCCTTTCCATTCTTATCCAACAAAGACATATGTGTAACTATATAGCTTATTCTAAAGAAATTGTCTTTCCGT